TGGCATACGAGGCAGTCTCCAAAGTGGCCCGTCCGCTTCCCCCTCCGCCACACCCCGTGTCCAGCCATGCTCGCTCCTTTCACCAGGGTTTCATGGCCCCGCGCCATTGCTCACTCCATTTTCCCAGAGGCAAATGCTTTTCTCAAGGCCTTTCCCTCTTCAAAGTCTGTCCTTCCTTCCAGAGCCAGCGGGAGTGTCCACTGATCCAAAGCCCCGACTCTTTCCTGGGGCGCGGGTGGTGGCTCTGCCCTGTGTTCACCAGAGGGACTCTCCTGTTCCAGCTACATGAGCTCCTCCCATGGAACGAGCCCTCCTTGGAGGCAGGCCCCCGGGCCGGTGTGTGATTGGGTTCAATAGCTGTTCAATACAAGAAGTGGAAAATTTTTTAAAGAGAGGCTCCTGTGGCAGACAAAGAGAAATTTAGTTTCCAAAGGAATAAATTACATATGAAAAGGGGTGGTTTTTTCATGTAAAGGATCACTGGGCTTGAAACACAGTGATGTGTAAAGGGAGAGGCAGATTTCTAGATGTAACCTTGCCTTGCTCTCAAGTGCTGGGCAGCTGAAAGTAAAACCAGGGCAAGCTTGTTCACTCCCCGCCTCGGGATCCTAGGGAAGGCGCGCCCGCGCGATGCGATGGTGCTACGCCTGAAAGACTTTGCCAGAGAAGGTGAGAAACAGCCCAATCCTTTCTCTTTGTAATGCTGTTAGCTTCCAGAACATTCACCACGCTCGCCGTTCCCAGGGCCGGTGACGCGTGAGTGGCAGCTAAAGGTTTCTTCCCCATCTCTCCCCCCCGCCCCGTGCCTCCTGCCGTCTGTCTCGCTGGCCCTGACGACCGCCTCGGCACAGTGCCCACCGCGCCCCCGCAGAACGTGCAGACGGAGGCCGTGAACTCCACGAGCGTGCAGTTCCTGTGGAGCCCCCCGCCGCAGCAGTTCATCAACGGCATCAACCAGGGCTACAAGGTGCGCGCCGCGGCCGGAAGGGCTCCCGGGCCCGCGGGGTCCATGGGGAGGCTGCCGCCCTCCTGCCGTCAGGGCCCCCGGCAGCAGCGCGGAGCGTGCTGGCCCTGGCAGGGGCACCTCCGTCCAGGGGCCCGTCGCCAGCTACGCGGGCTCCGACACTCGCGTTCTAGTTACCAAGAGGGCGCTTCCTGCAGAGCGGGGCCGCCGGTGACAAAGGCCACCGCGTTTCAGTTTGTGGTGGGAGGCCTGTCTCGGCTGACTGGACTCAGCGTGTGCAGAAAGCCCCTCTTCCCGGAAGGGGACCTCTCAGAGGAGCCCGGACTCAGAGCAAAGGGCGCTGGGTGACGTTTCCATCAAGTAAGGATAAGTCCGTGCCCTCTCTATACGTGAGGGACCGTTCTGTTTGTAGAACTGAGACCTGCCGACTCGGGACCTACCTGGACCGAGCTGGCGACAGGGACACCCCCCCCCTTGTCCTTAGCGCCCGAGCACGTCACCTTCCTCGCGTGCTTGGGCGCATTTCCCAGAGCGCAGTCTGTCCCTCCTCTTCCGTCAGCTTCTCCCGCGCTCAGCAGGGTGCTCGGCCCCCTTCGCCTGCGGTGCGGACGGGGGCCTTCCGCGCTGGCGGGGGAGCCCGGGCGAGGCCTTCCCGGAGAAGGGAGTCCACCTGGTTGGTGAACACTTGGCAATCTCAGGTTCAGAGACTGTTACTTCCTCAGACACGCAGTTCATTTTTTTCCCATTTGGACTCAACTTGCTAAAACACTTGTTTTCCGCTGGAAAGGCAGACGTAGCCGGAAGCCTGTTCTGCCTTCTCCCCACCCCACCCAGATCGCTGCAGTCAGAAGCATCTTTGAAAGGAAACCATAGTGATCAACGAAAATGCTCCTGCCTCCCTGATTCTCCTGTCAAGTCTTGTCGGCACGACTGGGCCGTCCACTCTGTGGCTCGATTGTCACCTCCGTCCGTACAAACCTGCTCTTGTCCTGCAGCGGGTCAATTTCAGAGTGAATTAACCCTAAAAGCATTTGGTGTCAGAGGAATTAAAAGTCACATTCGTACAAAATGTTGCCAAAACATTAAAACAGCCTCCTTTACACTGTGTTTCTTTAAAAGTACAGCCAGTCTCCTTTTCAGAAAACTGGTGAGATATAAATTATAAGTCCTTAGCGTGGTTCCCATCGCCCCGGGGCTTCAGAAAGGGCGCCTCTCTAGGAAAACATTTGTATTTATGTTTATTGCGTTGATTCAGTGAATAACAGATGATGTCATCAGTTATTTCTTAACCTTAAAAATTATACAAGTTTAAGTGAAGAGAAGGTGAAGGTTTGAGGAGTGTCTTTTCCCAATATGAGTAAAAGTAGATATTTTATTTATATATATATGTGTAAAATACATGTAAGTAAGCACATCTGTATTCAGTAGTCCATGAGATGTCTTTTAAAGTCAGTATTTTTCAGTGCAATTATAAAATGTAGGATTTATGGAGTTTCTTGATTACAACTTTGCTTTCTTTGAAGACATATTACAAGCAAAATAAAATTCTGGTGCAGACTTGAGAGTGAAGATGTGGAGTTAAAAGGATCTCTTTCTCAACCCGCTCCATCCTAGCTTCTGGCGTGGCCGGCCGACGTCCCCGAGGATGTCACGGTGGTCACCATCGCTCCGGATTTCCACGGAGTCCACCACGGGTTCATAACTAACCTGAAGAAGTTTACCGCCTACTTCACATCGGTCCTGTGCTTCACCACTCCAGGGGACGGGCCTCCGAGCACGCCTCAGCTCGTCTGGACCCACGAGGACAGTGAGTACCCCTTTGCCAGGTGTCTTGTCAGTAGCCCCGAGTCAGCTGTCGGAGAGGTTTGGGCCACTGTCATGTCCAGCGCCAGGCAAAGCAGGGGTGGAAACT